CCCAGGCAATTTGCAATGTCAGCAGATTTTGTTTCTCGGTACGTCCCAAAGGACAACAACCTACTAGGGTTATATTGCATGTTATGTCATGTTACATATTGCTTATGATCTGAGGCATATACATCGCCTCATAATCATCCATCTTCATCCACATCTACATCATCCCTATGCAGCCTTCATATATGCAACACCTTCAATACCCCATCAGTCAAGCTATCCTTGGGCCTGAATTTTTCCAAGGTCTGCCCTCTTTAATCTCCATGGCTCCGCTTCCACTGGAATTGTCCATACCACTCTTACCGTCATACATGAATGAATATTACTCTCAACTTCCAATGCTACTCCTCCCCATATCATGTAGCATATATTCTTTATCTTTTTACCTTGTGTAGTACTATTCATTGTGTAGTCTGAGTTAGGAAATTTCACAGCACAAAATCAAAATGTCATTAATAAACACGAGGTAAGATTAAACTACTACATTCTCAATGGAAATGATCATTGGGTGCCCAGCCATTGCATGTGTCCTTCCAAACATCAAAGCTTTTATCTGTATGCAACACAAAGGAGGTACGCTTACCCTCATATGGTAAGTTAAAGTGCGTTGTTTCACCAGAACGAAATATAGCAAAGTCATCACTGCAAAGTTCCAAAACCAAACACTGCTCAAACATTACCAAAGCCCCACCCTTGAAGTTGCCCAATGGAAGGACAAGACAAAAGTCCTTGTCAAACCTATCATGATGACCCAAGGTCGATACATTCAGGTTGACAACAAGAGAGAGAAATGGTGTCACAGGTGATACTTCACCACCTGGTAGGTCTTGAGCAAGTTCAACTAGGACCTCGTACTCTGTGGGCAAGCATTCCTTGATCTGCCTTGGTGTCAATACTGGTCACACCCTACAATAGCAAGCCACTCACCACGTCATCAATCCATTCAAAAAGCTCACCAAATGCCAGGAGAATGTTGTTGTAGAGTTGTTGGTGCTCCAGAATATCCCTTGACTGGTAGGGTAAAGTTTGGGAATGGTTGGTCCGACTAACGTCCTCTCTGCTCATATAGTGAGGATGAATATCAGTGGGAGCTTGATCACCCTGCGTCATATTTAGTTTTTACCCCACAGGGAATCAATGTTGAAACCCACCTTTGTAGCATAGCGATTCCAAATAGAAAAGTGGAGGCAATGAAATGAACTTTTAAGAACCTTCTCCGCCACCTTCTCCAAGGTAACACTGTCATGATGCTCGATTTGTGTGTCCTGATCTTGGCAGTCATCTGCGTGAAAGTCATCCTTCAATTTTCGCACGCACAAGACCTCATTTCCATCAAAGCATGCAAGGAATGAACTGAGGAGGTTACTGCGGATGGATTCGGGTAGTGTTGGACAGACGAAGGCCATCAGACTGTCATCTGCATTTCTCAGATCAAGTGCACTAGGGAGGCATTAGTTTTATTTACACATGACAATTACCTCGACTTGACTTACCCTTGGAATGCATCCATAGGGATGCGCAAATAAGTGTCGGTGTCCTCGCTGCTGCCATTAGCATATCTTTGGTCCAACTAAGTATGTACATGAGCATTGCAATTGCCAAGCGAATTCTAGCACACTCACCTTATTGCGCAAATCATCAAGATCTTGGATAACAACACCAGCCTCTGCCCTTACTCGCTCCTGTTCGGTCCAGAAGATGTTCTCATTTTGATCAGTCTCAGCAGGGAACTTGCGGTTGTCAGGATGTTCATGGTCAAAGGTAGTCTGGATGACACTAACCTTTGGTATCCTGCAAATGGCTTGATCCACAGTACGAATGGTGTAATATGAGTAACCGGGGTTGACCCTATGATCCATGCTGATGTGACCATTGCCTCTGATAACAATCATCGCCTCCACTACTGCAGTAGTGCAGTCCATCCAGGAGTCGAAATGACGAGGAGGAAGAATATAATTGCTGACAGAAAAATAGTCAGGGCATGTGACGATTTAAAAGAAAAGATCACGAGCTACGCACTTTTGCTTGAAAGCATCGAAAACTTTGTCGGTGACTGATAGGTTGGTACAATCTAGGGTTTCATTTAACCCAACGCTGGCCAGGAGAGAAGGACAGAACACTTTTTCGAGGGACAGAGGCAGATGAGATCTGATCCAAGCGATTGCAGGGATTATGCGCTGAAGAATCAATGTGGGCGTTTCTGGGTGAGGACACGATTAGTTAATGAAACACAATGATCAGAGGGGGCTCACTGCACATTTCCGGCTGTCTCAGCATCTTTCCAACTTCCCATGGAATACAACCTCCCAGTGTTGCGATTTTCCACCGCATGTCGAGGCCCGCGATCAGAACCAAGATGTAGATCGATCCACCAGCAGCAAGCGATATGAACTTGCATCCAATAGCGTTCCAACGATTGAAGGTAGTCTGGGCAGGGGCATTGGGCAACTGAGCAACATGGTCGTCGTAAACCCAACAAATACTAGAGCGCTCCTTGTAGGTGTTGATCAAGCTAAAATCTGAATAGTCAATGTGAGAAGGTAACACTAAGTAAAAGCTTACCTTTGACACTGTATCGCTAGCTGCATATATGTGAGCATTGCAACAAAGCTGGACCCATTCTGCTGGTGGGAGATTGAATGACAGCATGCTATAGTCTCTCCAATGGACCCCCCTCCTAAGTTGACATAGTGGGGGTGTTGGAGATAAGACACAATCTCCTTAACCCATGCGCAAAAATTGAGAGAAGGGGAGGCGGCATCTATGCGAGGAGTGGCAAGGGCTCCAATGAGGGCATCAGCGGTAATGTGGTTGGAACGAACTGCCTTAGCCTGTTCCCGCCAGCTCGCATGTGCAACAAGGGGGCGCCCACCACGAGGACAATTGGGACCAATGGGGGGGACGTTGCCATCGTCAGGACTTTGATATGTGATATGTTGATATAATACTCTATATTTCCTATAGCGTCCAAAGCAATATTATATCATACAGAGAAGCACTATTAATGTATATGACCTTATTATGACCTAAGATAGCTACATAATAGATAGTCAAATGACTATTACCTAAATAACTATAGTGTTTTTCCTGATGTTATAGAAAAATAGAAAGCCGAATCTATACTCGCATACAGAGGTCTATTTGTGTTTTTACCCCACTTCACCCTTTCTTCTCCTTTCACCCCTTCTCATCTAGCTATCATTCCTCGCACACACTGTCCATGAGCAAATATTTGAGGCATGTTCTTATAGAAAAAAATGTGATGTTTCACACATTTCAAACCTGTTGCGCTCCAATAGAAACAGATTTGGATTCTGTTACGTACAACAACCACTTGGTTAAATACAGCTCTGATCAGCTTGCAAGCTGACTGACCATAAGCATATGTCTTCATAGAATAAGAATAAAAATGTTATCATTGGCAGGTTTCAAACCTGCGCAGTCAAAGAGAAACAGATTTTGACTCTGGTGATCACTTGAGATTTTCATCTTTAGCAGGTTTTAAAACCACACAGACAGATTTAGATTCTGTCACATCAACTGCTTGGCTAAGACCAGTTAGATTCACTTCCAATGAACCCATTCAGAAGTGAATACTCAAGGTACATTTATCTGCATCTTTCTCAGCTCTTTCAATAGCATGGTCAGTGTTGATTTTTTATCCTACTCTTATTGAAAAAGACACAGACTTCCTGCTGGGGCTCTTGACTTCAAGACCTGTTTATCTAATAATTTCCCTGAAAAAGTGCTGATGGAAGACCACCACAGTGGGTCCATGAGTGAAAACTGACAATGAAAGGATCACACAGTGTATTTTTGACACAGAGTTCAATATATGACCAAAGTCTTGATGTGAACTCGGAAGGATAAGTACAATAACAATATAATTCTTTCTAAAGGTCTTGACTTGGTTGAAGAAGAAAAAGAGCAGACAGATTACACATCAAACTTTCAAGTTTGATCCTAATAACCTGGGGAATTAGTAAAAATACAAATCTATTAAGGCTGAGATTCTTTATTGTGCTTATTCAAGTGATCGCCAGAGTCAAAATATATTTCTCTTGAACTAAGCAGGTTTGTAATCTGTATAATGATGTGTATTTTGCATTAACTCATGATTCATCACATTCCACCATTTTGGATTTCATAGAATAAAAACATTGTGATTGGCAGGTTTCAAACCTGCACAGTTGAAGAGAAACAGATTTTAAATCTGGTGACAACTTGACCAAGACCAATGAAGATCAATGTCTGAGATGCTGTCTATGAGCAAATATTCAAGACACACATTTTTAGAGAAAAAATGCAACATTCGACAAGTTTCAAACTTGTTGCACTCTGATGGAAACAGATTTTGATTCTGTTATGACAGCCACTTAGCTAAACACAACTGTGATCAGCTTGCAAGCAAACTGACCATGAGCAGATTTCAAGGCGTGTTTTCATAGAAAATAAATTTTATCCCTCAGCAGCAGGTTTCAAACCCGCACAGCCCAAGAGAAATAGATTTTGACTCTAATGATCACTTGGCAAATTCATCTTTAGCAGGTTTTGAACCCACACAGACAGATTTAGATTCTGTTGTATCAACTTCTTGGCTAAGACCAGTTAGATGTGCTCCCAATGAACCCATTCAGAAGCGACTTGCATACTTTTGCCTATTGGCTGCACTTCTGACTTGCTTCCACGCGCTGAGAACACAATTAAAATTACTTACATAGCACCATGTATCTTTTGACTCTGAACAATCTTTCCACCACCATCTTGCATATTGTGGGACTCAAAGTCTAAAATACGCTATAACTGCTATTTGACACTGAGCGCTCGAAAGCACCTAAGCGCAGAATGTCGCACTGTTGTCTAAATACTTCTGCTTTATCTCAGAACTTCCTCTGGTCATTAGAATCAAACTGGAAAGTTTGATGTCTAATCTGCTCTTTTTCTTCAATCAAGTCGAGATCTTTGGAGGGAATTAAATTGTTCTTGTACTTGTCATTCCGAGTTTGCATCAAGACTTTGGTCATACATTGAACTTTTGTGCCTTGAGGGTTCACTTCTGAATGAGTTCATTGGAAGTGCATCTCACTGGTCTTAGCCAAGCAGTCAATACAACAGAATCTAAATCTGTCTGTGTGGGTTCAAAACCTACCAAATAGTGATCGCCAGAGTCAAAATCTGTTTCTCTTGGACTGTGCAGGTTTAAAACCTGCCAAGGATAATTTTCATTTTCTACAAAAATGCGCCTTGATATATTCTCATGGTTGGTTTGCTTCAAAGCTCATCAGAGTTGTGTTTGGCCAAGTGGTTGTCATAACAGAATCAAAATCTGTTTCCACTGGAATGTAACAGGTTTGAAACCTGTTGAATGTCGCATTTTTTTCTATTAGAACATGCCTTGAATATTTGCTCATAGACAGCAACCCAGACATTGATCTTCATTGGTCTCAGTCAAGTTGTCATCTGAGTCAAAATCTGCCAATGATGACATTTTTATTCCATGAAATCACACCTTGACATTTTCTCATGAATGATATATGTTATTTTTTTATTTTTATTTTTTTCCTGTTAGAACATGCCTCGACATGGACTTGTGTGTACTTTCCTGAGAGCACCATCTCACTGGTGGTGTGATTTCATAAAATAAAAATGTTATCATTGGAGCCCCTTCAGTAACATTTCCCGACTTAGTCGGACAGCCAAAGGTTGAGAATTGACCCAGTGAGGCGGGCCATCTAATGCGGGCCCAAGCATAGCTAATCATGGATGGGCCCACTGTTACGCTGACTGTCGGTCAGCGTGTGCGAACTAGGATAGGTCTTCTCAGCGACGACTCGAGTGAGTCTACTGAAGCTGAGTGTGGTTCTAGCCTTGACGGAACGTCAAGGATTCCTCCGGCGATCTCGGTAAGGCGGCGCTTGTCGAGATGCAGGGCTAGCGGATACGTGCTAAGTCGTATGGGAGCGACTTAGAAGTGCGGTCTCACACAAGGAAGCTGGTAAGGCTTAGATGAGCAAGTTCTGGGGATGAACCTAGTAGATTAAAGTAAAGTCTAAGTACAATAATCTGTGTCTACTTATAGGGAAGTACTACAAGTATTCTAGCTCAGTCTGTAATCAATAGTATATCTAGGATCTATGATAACAAGACGTGAGGTTCAGATAAGATACATGAGGCTTTAACCTCTGATCAAGCATGCTGCGCCAAGGGCAGCTGCGCATAGGTACAGGAAGCATCAAGAGCGCTCCAGATCTTCATGAAGCGACATGCGGTATGCATGCGCTGATCTAGGGTGACCATGAGGCGTACAGCCTCCATGGATCAGGTACAAGGCCAACTAGGCCAGGGGCGGGTCATAGCGCCAGGGGCGGGGTCACAGCGGTCCAGACCGCTATCTTTCTAGGCGCGGGCGGTGCACCACCACGCGGGGAGTCTAGCAGAGCGGGGGCAGGCGTAGGCGGAGCTGGGGCTCCTGTAGGTGTTACAGATGCCTGTAACACCCACAGCTTGGAATAGTACCCATGCTGGCGGGTCGGCCAAGTGTGAGATCAATAGAATAAGCGGGCTGATGTTATGGGATACAGGTACTGGGAGTGACTGATGGGCCCTGTATATATGTCTCGGAAGGAAGAACAGATAGGCCCAGCTGAATATTCTATATCCATGTCATCTTGGAAGGGCTCTGCTAGTGGTTTTGGGCCCAAGCACTGACCAGTAGGTTTTTTTTGGCCCAGCATGTGATCTTGGAAGGGCGGATGGTTCAGATTTGATATCGGAAGAGCCAGCCAATCATTTTCGGCCCAAGAGAATATCTCGGAAGGATTGGCGGTTGGCCCAGCTGATCCAGGAAGGGCCGACTAGTTATTTTTCGGCCCAGGAGAATGTTCTCGGATGGGCCAATGGATGGGCTCAACAAAATATGCAGTTTGATATCGGAAGGGCTGACTAGGTTTGTTATTGACCCAGGAGAATACCCGGAAGGACTGGTGGTTGGGCCCAGCAAGTAATTTTCGGCCCAAGTGCAGATTAGTAGTTATTTTTGGCCCAGCATAAGGGCCAATGGATGGACATGTGTCTGATACAGGAAGGGCCAGCTGATTTTTTTGGGTTCGAGAAATGATTTCGGGAAGGATTAGTGGTTGAGCCAAGCAGATCTCGGGAGGGCCAACCACTCATTTTTCAACGCATCTAGGAGAATTGCATATAATCTTGGGGGAAAATGGTTTGGCTCAGGAGAACAAACATTTGATATCAGAAGGGCCGACTAGTTGATTTTTGGCCCAGGAGGATATGCATATGATCGGATGAACTCAATACATTTGAATATAGGAAGGGCCAGCTGATCGTGTTCAGCCCAGGAGAATACGGGCATCTGATCTCGGAAAGAGTGACAGCCTGGCTCAGATGGGTAAGGAAATTTGAATGTGGAACTTGGGAGAGCGTATGAGTTGGGCATAGCAATTTTGGCCCAGGAGGACAAGCAAGTGATCTCGGAAGGGCCAGCTTGTTATATGTCAATATGTATACCATGTTGGAAGGGCCGGCCAAGGGAATATGAATCTGATGTCGGAAAGGCTGATCATTGAGCATTAGTTCCTTTATGGTTCACAAAATATATAATTTCGGAAGGACAAGTTCACCATCATACTATCGAGGACAATAAGCCTCTGATTTTGGACAGACTGACAGTTGGACCAAGTGACAGCTATTGGGGGATAATTGAATGTGATATTGAGGAATGACTGTTGGGGCCACTTAAGTCATGTTTTAGATGAATTTGTTTCACCAAAGTCAGTTTGATATCTTTAGGCTCGGAAGAATATGCCTCTGAGCTCCACATGGGTCATGGATGACGAAATTTGTGACATCGGCAGGGCGGAAGTGATATCGGAAGGGGATGGTTTTGCCGCGTATCCCCGATTGATCTTGGAAAGGCAGACAAATGGCCGATAATTGGTCTTCAAGAAGAATGTGGATTGATTGAATCTCATACCGGAAGGTGTTACAAATGGAACAAACAAATGTCCGTTTGGTCCCAGCAGAGAGCGATTGTTGGACTAGATTAAGACTTGTTGCGGTGGATCCAGGATCAATCAAACCATCCATGATTGCGACAACGGACTCTCATAGCATTTGCCTCCTACCATTGCTGATGAGCCGTGTGAACCACAACAAGCATTAATCCACTTCTCACCCATAAATGGTGATATGTTGTGCATTGGATACCCAGACAGCCATACATGA